ATTGTTTTGTCTCGAGAGGAAACATCTCGCATACGTGGTATCTCTGTTTTTGGAAAGAGACTATCCAGGAAAAGTGATAATGTGGTAGTTTGAACATTTGCTTTCCACATCGCAGGACAACAGCTGTTCAAACCACTCTGGTCATGCCTGTTGCTATATGAACTTGAACCATCTCGAGCATCATTTGCTCTGTGCTTCAAATCGCTACTGGTGATGCTGCTTCCGGCATCAGTTTTTGATGTCTCTCTTCATCTGATGCCTACCCTTTGACCTCTCCAGCAAGGGAGGCCCTGCCAGTAGCTACGCTACCGCTGGTTTAGCTCTCAGGGTCCTTGGCATACTCAGACCCCCTCACCACGATAAGGTGGAGACACCAACGAACGGGGATTTTATACATATCTGACAAATATCAGCAAGGGGATTCTGATATATCGGGACCTATTAACAACGGAGATATGAACAATTAAGAAAGCTGGTGTTTTTAAATTTTAAACTACGTGCAGTGTAACAGCTCCGTGAGAGAAATACACCTGATGATGGCCATTTACTAAGATCATGCAAGTTGAACCGAACCACGTGTGCAGAAAGTACAAGNAGTTTGTGTCATACAATGAGGAATGACTTAACTGTTGAATCAGAACTGCAGACATTGCACCAGTTGAGTTTCAGCCAGTATCAAGAAATGAGTCTGATAAATACTCTGTTCAGTACGCAGACTCCAGGGGAAGTTACAATCTTACAATGGTTGCCACTTGTAATTTAATTATAGTTGACAGACTCAGCTCTTTAGGATTGTTTTGTAAAATTTTTCCTTGACTTGGTCTTGAAATAGAATTTCATGTGTTTTATACCGTTTTGGGTTTGCCTCTGCATTTTCTGGTTGAGATCATTTTGCAGCATGCTAATTTGATTTTCATTGATAAACCGTTTATTTCCTATAAATTTGGTTTGTCTGTTAATACTGTTTTTTTCTTGCCTGCTTCTGGTAGTAAACAACTATTATAAGTAACTTTCATTTTGTTTATATATGAAATTTTGTATATTACATGCTGCAAGGTGTCCAGTGGTTTCGTGTTCATTAGTGTCTAACCATTTAATATAATTTTCTATTTTGAATGGTAAATTCTTAAGCTTCATCAGTGGTATGTTCTTTATATATATATACAGAGTGCTCATATGAAGATAATAAAAATAGTTTGTATCAACATAGGTCCGGAAATGCACTGTTTACAAGTTCTTAAGGTCTGTCTATGAAACTAAGCTCTTCATATTGCCTTACAGTAAATGTTCCAAATGTCCACCTCCTGCCTGAAAGAGGCCTCAGCCTGACGTCTCACTGCCACCCTATGATGATCCAAAATTCCTGGCATATTGCATATTGTTTGAAAACCCACTACAGTTTGATTTTGGAGAGGTTCCACATCATCCACTGGAGTGGAATACACCAACGATTTTAAGTGGCCCCACAAGTAGAAATTCAGTGGCTTTAACTCAGGTGAGGAATAAGGCCAGGCACTTGATCCACCGCTACATATCCATCGACCAGAAAACGTTCAAGTCAGCTACATGCGGGCAGCGAGACTGAAATATGCATGTGTGCAATCATGCATGAAGTCCAGTTCCCAACGAATAATCAGTGATACACTGGCCAAGAAATCAGGCATGTTGTTTTCCAAGATAGCTTTGTAATTCTGCCCTGTAATCCTCTTTGGAAGTATGTGGGGTCTGAATAAATTATCACCACAAATACTGGGCCAAATGTTGATGGAGAACAGCTGTTAGCGATGTGATGGAAGAATTGTGTGTGGATTTTCATATGCTCACAGATGGTGACTGAAAATTCTCGGTTCCACCTGTGAAGTGTGCTTCATCCATAAATATCACCAAGGCAGGGAAGTTAGGATTTCTACCACACTGTTGTAAGAACCACTGGCAGAACATTACTCACAGAGTAATCTTGTAGTGACAAGGCCTGTACATGCTGCAGATGGTGGGATTACAGCTGTTGTTTTCGCTGTACTCTCCAGACAGTCGAATGAGTTATGCCTACTTGCATTGACACCCTTCGTGTGCTAATTCCAAGAGTTTCAGTCACAACATCCAGAATATCCTCTACTTCAGGAGTCATAGATCTTGATCACCCCATTGGCAACATGAGGTGCAAAATTCCCATGTTCACAAAGTTGGCAATGGATACTTAACAAATGTTTTCCTATCTGAACATCTTCATCCCAGATACCTTTATTGGTACAAACGAGTCGCCACAGCATTACTGTCTGCCAAATAAAACATGAAGTGCACATCGGCTAGCTCTTGATTTGAGTACATCATCTCAGCAACTTGCAGTCACCACATAATTACTGTAAACTTCTCCAACTAAGATTTGGAAACTTTCCAAGATGGTGTCAGACTGATACCACGACTGTCTTAGTGTAGTGAATGACAGAAACCATCTACGGGAGTTTTGAAATTGAGCTTATAATTCAGCAGTTTTAGAAAGCCTTGACTTGGAAACTATGCATTTCTGCAACTATGTTGATATGAACTATTTTTATTATCTTTATACGAGTATAAGGAATGCATTCCTGAAGATATGCCATATATTTTTTAAATACTCTGTATAAGAGTAATTCTTTTATGAAATGTACTTGAGTTAAGTTACATACATAATATTTTTGAGTAGGACTGCATTTCTGTGTTTCAGCTTCTGTCATCAGTGTTTTCATTCTTTTGTTTGTCTGATAATATTTGTCATATTTTGATTTCAGTATTATTTAAGCTCTATTTTGAATTATGATCCAAGTATGGTTCGAGTATTTAATATTAATATGATGTAAGATGTATAATTGTTCATTCAGTTTTTCTTTCCTAATGTATTAGGCTTGAAAACTGCACAGTGTGGAGCTTCATAACTTGTACTTTTCTCAAAGTATAATTAGAATCATCAAGTCAAGGAGGATGAGGTGGGCAGGGCATGTAGCATGAATGGGGGAGACGAGGAATGTGTATAGGATATTGGTGGGAAAGCCAGGAAGAAAGAGACCACTGGGAAGACCAAGACATAGGCTTACATGAACAGCCCCAACTATAGGTATGGCTACACTTTACTGTTACAGGTGCAGGAGTGGTAAAGTAGACTTGTGTACCCTTGAGTGGATGAAGTCAAAGACACGCTTATAATATCCATGACAAGAAATTTAATTTCTTGTGTTTGTACATACAAGCAAAGATACACTGTATCTCAAGTTTGTCAGAAATGGTGTTCACTCATCTGTGTTCTGTTGTAGTGGTCGAGATATCGACCAACACACATTATAAGAAAAACAGAAGGACGTTGAAAAAGGAAATAATTGTTCATCTGATGTCATGCCCATCCTCATAAAAATGTAAGAATTTAGTTCCTGAGGGTTTGCCTGCCACAGTATACAGTATGGACGTAGTGTCCTGTCTGATGCTCTCACATTGATGGTGACAAAGAAGCATTATGTGCCTAAGTATTTGTCAGCCTGCACCAGAAGTGAGAAACTTGCATTCATTTTCAACACCTTCAGCATTAGAATAGTTAGTGAATTATTTGAAATTATATGCAGCAACATACATACAAAGATCTTTTACCTGCCAGCAGTCCGCAAGCAAAGTATACCAACCAAGCGACCGCCGCTTGTTGGCGAAGTTAGTGCCAACATCTGTGGATATAGGGTGTCACTTGGCCAGCGTGATGGCTCTCCACGGCCATTAATCTCGGTTTCCTGGACCAGAGCCACTATTTCCTTGAAATAGCTCCTCAGTTATCCTCACGAGGCTAAGTACCCATATCATTTTTTAAATATTTTACAGACAGTCTGTGAAACTGTGTTTTGATTAGGTGATTAGCTGTATGAATAAGGAATGAATTTCCATTTTAATGGCAGTTTCATCGTCCATAATCAGGGACTAATTGTATGAGTGATGCAGCAATGTGGCCAGTGTATACATGCAGTTGCTCTTGGAATCTAGTGTCCTCTTTGCAAAGGGACAAGTGGAGAGAACAGTGGGTGGAGTCAGGCATTGACTTATATCCAGGGCATCAGTTGTGTGTTTGAATGTTTGAAGACTCAGATGTTAGCAAAAGTTCCTAGTGGCTGTGTTTTTAAGGTGCTTCTTCATTGATGTATGCTGGTAGCCATGGTCAGTGATTAGCCTAGACTGAATCCTGTATTCCTCTTCAAGTTACTGGAATGTAACAGGGCTGGACTGGTGGGCATGTACTATGAATTTGTAGCCAGTGTGGCATGTGTAGTTCTTGCCACTACTTTTGTATACTGTAGTTCAGTAGCTGTAGTTATTGCTGTGGTATCCTGTAGTTAATTGTATGCAGTACTACATTATGTTTGGAGATGGCACATGGATGGTACTGGCCCTTGAGATTGGGTTACATCCAGACATCATCAGAGAAATGGGATTTAGTGTAAGTCTGTCTGAGAACCTAGCTACCGGTGCAAATCAGCAAAGCATAACCATTGACACACAAGTACTGGGACTGATTCCTTCATTCCACATTATCCATGTTAAATGGAGCTGATCATGACCAAATGACGAGAACACCTGATCACCTGTTCCCCAGGTTCATCAGAATGGAAGCAGACATTCTCTGTGAAGCACTGGAAGTTGCACACTGACATGGGGGTTTGTTGAAGGAGGTTTTTTTTGTAGGAATTGAGATGGGTTGCAGATGGGTTGGAAGTTGAACACATGAATTCGTGGTTTTGTCGTCTTCTGCTCCATACAGTCTTTCTGAACCAATGTGGCAAGACATTGAATTTTTTGTTTTTAATGGATTTAATGAAGTGTAGTAACAGCAGTTCAGTCTAGTATCTCATGGATGTATGGTGCTGTTTGTTAAAATGTTTCTGTCCAGATATGCCTATGCATATCTTGGTGCCCGAGTTGTAATGACACTGACATGAAAGATAAGTGAAATATATGTAATTCTTATTTGGAGGTCAGTGTTTGCTGTAAGGATGCATGTACTATTATGTACCATTTGGATTGAAATAAAGGCTTAAAGCCCATGTTGGACTCTCCCTTATCCCAGTTTTCTCACTGTGTATTTTGTAATAGTTTCTGGGCTTCTGTTTATTATCTGTGCATGAAGTTTTTTTCTTGTGTTTTTGTCATTAGTGTGTAATATACTGTTTTATAGGATTTGTTTGTTTTCAGATCCCTCTTAAGTTGAACCTTGTCCTTGTAATAATTTTCAAATTGGTTCTGTTTATGTAAGATTTGAGGATTTCATAGCGGTGACTATGAAGAAAGCAGTCTTCTGGGATGTGGCACTGTGTAGATGTGGTGTTAACCGACGTTTCGAAGGAACGTATCGCCTCCATCTTCAGGGTAGAAGGAAAAATAAATCCGCAAGCGAAGAGACTGTGAGAACCGGTACAAGCATACTGGTGTTGGAAATAATCACAGCTATGTGAGATGTGAGAGCAGCGAAGGGAGGGGGGGGCAAGTCTACATGGTAAGATATTGTGTCAGGGGAGAGAAAGGCAAGGTTAAAGGGAAGGCACTAACCCTTAAGCCGGGGGGGGGGTTGTTATGTTGGTCATGGCCTGTGTAACCTTGTGAATCTGGCGTCGTGTCCCAGGGGTGTTTTTAGGGAACAGATGAGAGGCACCATGACTTGCTGAGAACCCCCCACCTGTTCATATTTTCAGGATGGAGTTCGATCTCAATCGCTTCCCTAATGATGCGATCCATATATCATGTCTTGGTGGCGAGGATGGAGGTATTCTAAGCTGAATGCAGTGTCCCAGATCGATGCCGTGTTCAGCTACAGCTGACTTGTCCGGATGTTCAAGACAGATGTGCCGCTGATGCTCCTTCAACCTCATGTCCACAGAGCAGCCCATCTGCCCAATATAGACCTTGCCGCACTCACGTGGGATACTGTATACACCCGGTGTCCGTAGTCCCAGACTATCTTTGACTGGCCAGAGGAAACTGGTTCTGTTTACGTGCCCACCAGACTTTGCTTACCATTTCACCATCTCTTCATATTTGTGTGCACTTTGGGTTTGTAGCATTTAAATATATAATGGGCTGTCAGCTTTAGCAGCATAGCAATGTCAGGCAGTGAGTTGAGTGAATATACTGAGATTATACTTCGAGGAGACTTCATCTGAGGCCACTGGTATCAGAATAGAATTATCTATTTTGGTTGTGATGAGCATAAGAGTATATTTTAATGTAGTGGATTTGGAATGGAAATTGTTTGGATATTCAGATTGGGACATGGTGTATGAACACTTTTCTACCATTTGTGACACACCATCCAAACCTACCACTTACACATCCAGAACCTACATGTGACAACATGAAACACTCCAGGATTGACACGCTATTGATGTATCCTAACCATCTTCAAGTACATAATGTCCAGGTACTGTGCAACTTTGTACATCAAGTACTCAGCCTTCACAATATTTAGACACTACAAACAGATCATACGAACTGAAAAACGAGCTATACATGCCATATTTACTCTGTGCCTTAAATTATAATAAATGTGATATATCACTGACCCCTCTTCTCATTCAAATCACCTTCACCACTTACTGTAATTTCAAAGTTCAGTATCTACCTTACAAACACTTGTGCAGCAAGACTCGCACCACGATTCACTTCCCCTCACCATCCACTGATTACTACCAGCGATATTCATTTCAATATCCCATATTGATGATTTGCAACCATGAATCACTAATTCTGTCTACACCATATTATGTCTCTTAACTTCAGCTAAGCAACTTGTATGATACTGGAAGATAAATATAGAAGGATAAGAGACCAATACAGAACGTATTGGCCATTGCTAAGAATAGGCATCCACAAACAAAAAAAAATCACATTCAAAGAGAAGACTCTTGTATTGCTTACAAACACTGCACAAACAAATTAATCCAGCACTTTATACATGTCACAATTCAATACAATATATTATTGCCATCAATACATGATCTGTACATTACAGACTGTACAACACAACATTCATACAGAATGCTTCTACACAAGCCTTCCAGACCTCAGCTCAAGAACCTCATACACAACATAGCAACATTCCTGAAAACTAACCAGCCCTTCAACAGGATGGTATGCTGAAAAGTAACACTTGTTTTCTTGCACCAAACCCACCCACATGGCAGTGTAATCTCTGCTGTATTAATTCAATTACAGCTGTAAAAATGTTGCAGTATACAGAGATGTGAGTGCAATATAGTCTGTCCAGTGATCTACATCCTCACTGTGCAAATCTTTCCACTTATCGACATTCACTGGCGATCACCACCACCACCATCTTCGCCATCATCCCCTCCACCATGACTTCCACCACCACACATCACACGATGAAGTCTAGATGGTGGTAGGGATGTCCTTCCATCCACAATATGGAGACATCTGATTTAATGCACATTTCCAAATACCCCTGCACTTACAAAACTCTGTTGACTGCTGGTGATCATGTTCACAATTGTGTACAGTTGCACCAGACATTAAGAAATTATCCATTTTTGTTTCAATGAAATACTATTTTTCTTTCTTTTCAGCTTGACCTCTTACATAAAATTTACCTAACTTTCCACTCTTCAAATAAATTGAAGAGATCAACAGACATGAATAATTACACACTACTGTACTCAGGAGACTATTACAAACTGTGAAACAAATATGAACTGTGTATTCCAAAAAAACACAAATCTGACAGATCGTAACACATACAGTACTGCTCCTATTGTATCACCCACCTACAGCATTAGCACATATTTATGCAACATGAACACGACTTCCTATCTTATTATAGGACTGAAATCCATCACATTTTTCTGAACTGAAATACCACCAATATTAAGAATCCTTGCTTTGTATATGCAAAATTCATACACTCAGCATACTGACACAATTCATCCAATCATCTCCCGATGAATGACGTGTTTTCAAATAGAATAAAGATGTAACAATACACCATTATAAAAAAATATACATATCTTGATGGAAAATACAGATAGCTCATGTCCTCAGAAACTGCATTCACATCATTACAATAAATATCAACATTAACAGAAACTGGTAACACCATTCATACACAATCCATATGGTCTGCCACTGAGGCAGCAAGTAGAACAGAAATTCATACAATTATATAAGTAGTCAATCAGTGAACTCTCCTGGCCTTGACACAAATCGATTCTATATGTAAATATGCAGGACATTCTCTTCATAACTTCATAACTGACAAATTGACAATGATTATGAGAATGTCTTGTGTCATTTTGCAACGAACATATTTCTGTCTAAAGGTATGTTGAAATATTTTCCAAACAGCAATAAAATTAGAATCCACATACAAGTACATAGCACTTTCAGGACCTCTATCAAACAACGACAGCCAGACAGCCACACATACACAACGATAAAGGTCTTATATATCCATTAACTTCTGGTTATCAAAGTAAGCAATACAATCTCAAGTACAAGTTCTGGCATTACACTTATCACAATATCAAAGCAGACAACCATAAATATAAAATATAGTACATGGCTGCACCCCCCTTTTACCACAGTAATAATCACTTGTCCACCCTAACCATATATCCCTTTACCTGGGCAAGATGACTTTATCAGTATCAACACAACTGATGCAAAGACATATTTTTCAGTGCGTGTTCTCCTAAAATGGGACCACTTCTATTACATTACACTGACCTTGACTCTAGCAAAACATCTGCTCACTATGGGTCTATTCTGTGCTTTGTGTACTCCTATGGATGGTGAGGTATAGTGCAGAGTGAACCTCATACAAACCAATAGGCTAAATTCATAAAGCTCATGGTGATAAGTATACCCACCTTGACCCTTTCTGTTCCACAGACGTATATGTACTTTCCTCAACATGTTACCTCAGGTTAGTTTTGTTAGCTTCGATTAAGTTAGAGTACATTCTGTTATAATTTGTATTTTGTCTCAAGCTGTCAAAAAACTTGGCCTACACAGGGTTAATGGCATATACTTCTACCATGAATACTGACATACTGTACTAGGCTGAAATCATTTTCTTCCTTGGCCATTTAAATGAATACCCCCCCTCCTGTACCCATTTTTCTTTTGGACAAAATAAATCTAAATTTCTTACATATAATTCAAACACAGGTCATTCATTTAGACCAACTCACACTTCAAGCATCATAATAATGATACCTAAAGGGATATTAATCTATATTTATCAGCCATACATTTCTGAGGCTAGTTGCAAGACTAGTTATCTTGTGGCGGAGAACGATGCGGTAGTTTACCAATCACACCATCTGTAGTGCTGGCAGATGAACCTCTTACACAACTGCTGCACTTCTTCCAGTGCTGGAAATCCTCATCCAGACTTCCCATGATGTATGACTGTCAACAGGGAGGCATATTTCTGTGGTTGGTGATGGTTACAATGACATACAGATGCAGGTCTGCATACAGTGAATCTCCTATTTAAGGTATCTTTGGCAAGAAGTGGGTTCTTTCATGTATGTAATTTAACAATGAGGTTATTGACACAACATCAAAACTGAATGTTACCTGAGGTTAATCTCGCATCAAAGAGCACTGATGAGGGTGTCATTGTACTTCAGTTCCCTCTCAGGTCTTTGATCATCTCTTTATAAGCCTGCTGAAAAGCAGTCATCTTCCCCCTATTAAGTCTGCAAGATCTTGCTGTGCATATGTCCAATGAACATGGAAAACCACCAATCACTTCAGCCCCTCATGGATGTGGAGAGACAGCTCATTTTCAAACAAGACGTCGCTGCCCCATCATCTCGCCCCATCATCATCTCTACAACAAACAGTAAAATTACTTGGTAAAAGCTAATATATGTTAATATTATACAGTGTCACTATTATATTTAAGATATTATCATTCTCTACACAGCATAATACTCATTGGCACAGTTATTCATGTAGGTCAGGAGCTGGGTTTGGAACTCCTGACATTTTTAAATGTTTCAATGAATATGCTGTTATAAATTTACCACCCAATGATCCATCAGCATCATGATGTTCCTTCCAGACCCAAAGAAATGACACACACCACCCCTCTGAACACAAGAAGTAACAGTTCAATAAATGCCACCAATTTTATGTTTACTGTGGACCAGAATACTGACACATACATTAGAATTCTGAATCCACATGGCAAAACATTACCATCCCATTAAAATCTTTTCATGCACTAGCACTGTCAACACATGAATTTACCTCTTAAACAAAGGTTCACAATAAGATCTTGATTGCAGACCCAGAAAAAGAACAGCAGCACTGTCAACAGATTAAGTAACATTTAAACAAAGGCTTACCATGAACTATTTACTTCAGACCAATTTTAATATTGTCCACCCACCTATGCCTTGATCTTCCCAGTAGTCTAATTCAAGGGTCTCCAAACTATGGCCCGTGGGCCACATGCGGCCTGCGATGTGATTTTATCTGGCCCGCGAAAGAATTGTGCAGAAATGCGCCAATTGAACTAATTTTCAAGTGAGTACTGGTAAATGTGATTCCGAGCTTATTGACCTGACATATTATACTGCAGTTCGATGGCTTAGCTGTGGAAAGGTTCTTTCGCGCTTCTTTCAGCTCAGGAATGAAATTGATATATTTCTTACCAAGAAAAGCCATCACGAACCACTTTTATCAGATACCAAGTGGCTTTGGAAATTAGCAGTTTTGCTGATCTGGTGAACCATTTGAATTTAAAGTTGCAGGGTGAAAATAACTTAGTCTGTGATTTATTTCCACTTATCAAGGCATTCAGATCAAAGTTGATACTTCTGGAAAGACAAGTGAAAAATTGTAACTTTGTTCATATGCTATACTGTGCAGAGCTGCATAAAAATGGTGAAGCAGAATTTCCTTCCTCGTTTGCAAATTTAGTCATTTTAGATTTGAAAGAACAATTTCGGAAGTGATTTGACGATTTGGATTCCAGTGCTCAGGAAATTAGATTGTTTCAAAATCCGTTTGACTGTAATGCTGCAGATGCCCCAAGTCAAATTCAAATGGAAATTATTGAACTTCAGGAAAATTATCATATTAAAGACAAATACAAGGAAGGAAATTTGATCGAATTTTATAAATTTCTGAACTCTGAGCAATTTCCAAATTTAAATAAATTTGCTTGTAAATTTATCTCCATTTTTGGGACGATGTATCTTTATGAACAGACTTTTTTTCCAGATGAAGTACATCAAGTCGAAATACAGGGCAAATTTATCCGATGAACATTTAAAGTCGCTACTTGGGATTAGAGTTTCAACATTTGAACCTCCATTTAATCAGATTTTAAGAATGCAAAAAGAGTTCCATCATTCACATTAATTGTTTTATTATAATTTGTGAAGAAAATATGAGCATTTGCTGCTACTGTCTGTTGTCATTAATATATGATAATTTATTCTCACNACGCGCACCAGCAGCGGACATTTAAATAAACTCCGGCCAGCTCAAGCTTACCACTATTTCGAAGTCCGGCGTTTAAAGGTTAATTTCTCATTTTATCCGGCCCGTTGAAAGTGCTGAATTACCTAATGTGGCCCACGGTTCGAAAAGTTTGGAGACCCCTGGTCTAATGAATAAACACTAAAGGCTGAAAATAAAATGTTCACTGCAGATGGAAAAGAAAATACATTTTACACACACTTACCAGCACTTTCAACAGATGAAGGAACACTGAAACAAATCCTCACAAAAGGATGTTCACTGCAGACCAAAGAAAAGTGACATACACCAGCAATGTCAACAAATGAAGATCAACTGAAACAAAGGTTCACAGTAAAATGTTCACTTGAGATGCAAGAAAGGGAAAGCTTACTAGCACTGCCACCAGTTGAAGTAACACTTAAACAAAAGCTTAAAATGATCACTTCAGATGAATAAAGGCAAAAACACTACCATTGTCTACAGATGAAGTAACACTTAATCAAATGCTTACAATAAAATATTCACTGCAGATCCAAAAAAGGAAACACATACTGGCACTGCCAACACATGAAGCAGTGTTTAAACAAATAAGATGTTCCCTTCAGACACACAAAAAAAAAAATTACACCGTCAACAACTGAAATAACACTTACAGGCTCACAGCAAAAATGTTCACCTTATATAAAAAAAAGGAAACACATTAGTATTGTCAACAGATGAAGTAACATTTAAACAGACACAATAAAGCGTTCACTGCAGATGAAAATAAATATTGCTCACACTAGCAATATTGGCCTACATGTTACACTTACAGACCCCCGAAACTGAGTTTCTGCTGATTTCACAGTGAAGTGCATCAAAAAGTGATTTCGAGTGAAATGCATCACAACAGTGTTTTTTCTCTTCATTTCTTTTTCCTGAAGTGTTGCATATAAGTAATAAAATTATTAGTCAGATAATCTGTTACTGTATTCATTTGGCAATATACAAGTGAAGTTCACAGGAATTTAATATTTTAACTCCTGACAATCGAATCTGTACAGTGAGCGACACTAAAAGAATTTGTTCTAATTGTGGTTTTGAAATTTCATTAATAGCGTCTAACAAATAAGGAATATATTATTAATATTCATAGCCATAATGATGTCTGGTACAAATAGCCTTTCTGGTAAATGTGGAGCTTGTCGCAGGTGGGTCACTAATGAACTAATTTGTACAGACTGTGGCTACTGCTTCCACTTAAACTGTGCAAGCACTAGCCCCAGAACACCAGACAGCAGCAAGCCATGGTATTATATCCCATGTAAATACCAGAAACATGTGAAGCAACAGGAGAGAATCAGGCACCTGGAAAAAGAATTAAAGGCAGCTAGAGAGGAAATTTGTAGCTGAAAGGAGGGAATGTCAGCAGTAACTACATGCAGCAGGATAATTCAGGAAACTGGAAGAACCAAAAAATTTCAAGTCCAGGTTCCATAGGTTCTCTGCAAATGATGCTAGTCAAGTTCAGCTGAACAATAAATTCAGTGTATCACAAACAGATCCACTGGAAATGGGTCAGCAAACCCCAGTTTTGTTGAAGCATAAAGGCTGGGAACGCAAATCTATCACAATGAAGACAGAGAAAAATAAAAATACAAGAAAGATCTTTTTACTGGGAAGTAATCATGGTAGGGAAATTGGCCCCATGCTACAAGAAAATCTGGGAACTAAATTTTCCATATGTAACATTTTCAAACAAAATGCTCCTCTTGCAAAGGTTGTTGAGGATATAGGGAACCTTGGTAAAGGCCCTACCAAGAAAGATCATATTATTATAGTGGGAGGGCCACGAAACAGCCTGGTTAGAAACTATTACTATTCAACTGAAAATTATCTCAACTACATAGCAGAGAGGACATCAAACACCAACATGGAATTTGCCAGCCTCTTTGAGAGGTATGACAAGCCATGGATGAATGGGAGGGTTAGGAGTATGAATCTAAGGCTTGATCGGGCCCTGATAGGTCATGACATGTCTCACATTGGTGCCATTGACACATCATCAATTGCGAAGGAAGATTACACAATGCATTGCCTGCACCTGAGCTCTCGAGGCAAGAAGAGGCTCATGCAGCTTATTGCTGAGGGTTTTTGGTCATGTGTCAGGTATAAGCAGTATTCCTGTTATAACCAATGCTGGAGTGTCTCCTTTTTTAGATTAAATACAAAAGGACCAAGATGCCTAAATATATTAAATACAGTCCAGCAGTCTTGAAAATTCATAGACAAAATGCAGAAATATTAAATTCAATAAATATCTTTCATCAAAATATCAGAGGCTTGAGAAGCAAAAAGTGATTAATTACTACACCCTTTTGAAATAGACAACATGAACCCTCACATATTATGTCTAAGTGAACATCACATGGTTGAACAGGAATTGCTGCTCCTCTCAATGAATGGTTACCTGTTAAGCTCAAGTTTTTGCCGAAAAAGCCTACGGAGGGGAAGAGTGTGTATCTTTGTTAAGACAGATCTACATTTCTGTAAAATTGATATTTCTCATCACTGCAAGGAGCAAGACTTTGAAATCTGTGCAATACAGTTAGTAACTAAAGCATCTCACCTAATTATATTAAGCCTGTACAGAGCCCCTTCAGGAGAGGTTAATGAATTTCTAAGGAGACTAGATGCAACTTTAAAATATCTGAGTTCATAATCTGTGGAGACATAAACATAAACTATTTAAATGAAAGCAGTCAGAAAAAGCAAGTAAACTCTTTAATAAGGACATACAATCTGTCACACACAGTGAATTTTGCAACAAGAATTCAAAATTCCTCAAGTACAACCACTGATAATATCTTTATAAATAATGCAAGGTTAAGATCTTCTTGTATATCTGCTATAGTCAACGGCCTCTCTGACCACGATGCTCAATTTCTTACATTAAATAATATTATTGCCGAAGTAAATTCAACACCCTTGAAACAGAGAACCAGAAAGATAAATAGTGAAACCATTGCTCAATTTTAACATCTATTAGAAAATGAAACATGAAAACCTGTTTTCAAAAATAAGGATACAAATTATAAGTTTAACGCTTTTTATATATTTTTCTAAATATCTTTGAAGCCAGTTTTCCTATGCAGAATAAAAGTGTAAGTAGAATAAAAAACCACTGGATTACACAAGGAATAAAAATATCTTGTAAACGTAAAAGGCGTCTGTATGTAGACAGCAGGAGCAGTAATAATTCCTACATAAGGTACTGCAAAATCCTGAGTACAGTTATAAAAGAGACTAAAAGGCAGCATTACTCTAGGCTTATAAAAAAATCGAATAATCAGATAAAACAACCTGGAATATAATAAAACATGAAAATCACATCTGACTGAACAGATACCATCTCTCCTTATAAATTATGAAAAAGTTGAGGACCCAGGAGAAATTGCAGATGCCTTCAATACTTTTTTTCTAACAATCACAGAAAATCTAGACTTGCATCAGGAAGTGGGAGATAATGCCACTTCATTTTTAAGAGGGGCATTTCCTAGAAAATTCCCTGCTATTAAAACCATTCCAACCACTGAAACTGAAATAAAAAGTACAATACATTCTCTAAAAACAAAAACTCTTCAGGTTATGATGGAATAACAAGTAAAATTTTAAAAGTTTGTGCATCTCTAATCAGTAGTCCATTAACTCACATCTGTAATCACTCACTATTCACAGGAATCTTTCCTGATCATCTTATGATTTCAGCAGTAAGACCACTATATAAAAAAGGGGATAAGACTGGTATGTCAATCTACAGGCCAATTACACTGCTAACTGCTTTCTCTAAAGTACTTGAAAAAGTTGTGCACATTTGGTTAAGCCATTATTTTCAGAGTAATAATATACTAGTCCCAGAACAGTTTGGCTTTAGGAAAGGAATTTCCATTGAAAATGCAGCCTTTAAGTTAAGAAATTCAGTTCGTTGAAATATTTGTCTTGTCAGTTAATTAACAATATTATTATCTCATATGAAGCTTAGGTCTGTCCAATTCAGGAAAAAATCATAACAAAAAGAAAAAAAAAAACAGAAAAATGGAAATTATTATTTTCTGGATTATCTGGGATGTAATTCTCTTACGAAGGAAAAGAAGTGTAGAAGTGTAGAAGTTGAACTGTATTTAAAGCGTGGCAAGCATCAAACATAAGATATCAGCTGTACAAATGCATTTCATGACATACAGACAGCAAGTTAACTCTTTGAAGGGCAGGAATATTTTTTTCAATTAAGGCATGGGAAACTCAGGTAATTAATTAGATACTTTATAGACAATTTTTTTCCTTTAAACATTTTCTCTAATTTGTTTACTTTTTTAGTTATTGCAAACTGAAATGTGATTATCTACACATCCGCCGCCCTCTAATTTTTTTTCATTTATCAGTAATCTGTCAGACGACAGGTCCACAGTCTCTCCCAAAACAGTTTCTCCACTTAATGCGATCTAGAGATTTCTCCTTCAAATGAGAATATCCTCTTCTGTCCCCAAGGTCATCCAGCATATTCTTACGTCTTCTGGTTCGCATACGTAGTGTCTCTGTGTTTGGAAAGAGATTATCCAGGAAAAGTGATAATGTGGTAGTTTTTCCATTTGCTTTCCACATCGCAGTACAACAGCCGTTCAAACCACTCTGGTCACGCCTGTTGCTATACGAACTTGAACCATCTCGAGCATTATTTACNAGTCGCTACTGATGACGCTGCTTCCGGCATCAGTTTTTGGTTTTTGGTGTCCCTCTTCGTCTGATGCCTACCCTTTGACCTGTCCAGCAAAGGAGGCCCTGCCAGTAGTTACGCTACCTCTGGTATAGCTCTCAGGGTCCTTGGCATACTCAAACCCCCTCACCACGATAAGGTGGCACCAACGAGAGGGCCCTCTAATAGTCACCAGAATTGTAGCTAGTGAATAAATATTTAGAAAAAATAAAAGCATTATTACTACACAACTTCTTTTTTGTTTAGCAAAATACTTGGAATGGAATGTTTGGAAACATGTTTTTATTTTTCTCAGGCAAAGTGGTACATTACGGGTCGAACACATCCATACTGTTCTAACAGGTACAGCTCGTGTACTACATATGGCACATCTTCTTGACATGGCCTGAGCAGGCTGATGAGCATTTCCTTCAAGTATAATCTGTTTGTACACATTTGCCTTATGCATACACTTTTCCTTTTTTGGTTCACCTTACTGGAAGTACTCGTAATAATTGTTTTGGCTAGGAGTCCTTCACATATTTTCCTACGAAAGTCCTTGTTTGTGAATTGCTCCATGTCCACCTCCTCGTGAATAATGAATCCATTCACAACACACATGTCTACAAGATAGAAGAACAAGCTGTGCCACCACTTTCTGCTTTTGCAGTCACATTTGTAGTCCCCTTTCAACCTATCAAAATTGTCTACAAAGTTCATGTTCCTCTTGTAGTCATGCAAAACACGAGGGCACTGTACATGCGTTACTGACCCATCTCTTTCCTGGAAATTATTGCAACTTAATTAATACGAAGCTACAAATAACTGCGAGATGTATAGCTCACACACTTAAGGGTACTAAACACTGACCTATGGCAAAAACTGGCACGAACACGAACCTGTGGAGCTCTATCTTCCACACATCCAAACAACCACGTGCAGTCGGCTCAATGGGTCACGACCGTCACGACCCTCCGGACGTCACGTACATTTTCCTGCTCGCTTCAACAGCTGTGCAACAATCTCCGCGGAGAACTGCTTACATTCAAGCAAATATGACAACGCAATAATCATTGCTTAGCAACGGCGAGTAAACAGCTGTTGCTAGGCAAAGTGAGTAAACAGCAAATATGACAATGCAATTATCATTGCATAGCAACGGCGAGTAAACAGCTGTTGCTAGGCATAGCGTGTAAACAGCGGTTGTTAGGCAAAGCCTACACGAATACGGACAGTGACATGTTTTCTATATGTCCGACTCTTGGTTAAATAAGAAGATACATTGAGTGGAAGTTCTGCAGTTCTAGTTCAGTGTTCAAGGAGTTCACCACTATTCATCAATTCAAGTTCGTCTGTGTATACTGTGCAACTATAATATTTTCTATAGAACAGTTCAACAAGTGATTGTCTCTTCGTACATTTTTATTATGGCGTATAACCGAAGAAGAGGAAATATTTGCGTTCTTGGTTTAATCCTCAGTCAGATTACAGTGCTGATCGTTGGTAAGTATTTCAACCATAATTTCCAAGTACAGTGGCAATATGTTATTAATTAACGGCGTTACAAAATCGCCATTAAATTTTAATGAAATTCATTTGTGGCGTTCGTAAATTCACATCTGACAGATACTGCGTCATTCAGATTTTAAAAAATGGTTTTGTTATTTTGTGCTTGGATATTCACTGGTGACAGAATTATTGAGACCCTGATTTTTCGGATGTGAGGGGAAAATTTTAAATTTGATATTATGTTAGCCGGGTAGGTTATGGCGTAGAAAGACAGGGTGACTAAGGAAAGTCTGAAGAGTAGTGTCACTTTGGAACAAAACTTATAGTCACTCAGCTGGTTAGGATATCTTTCCACTCCGATGTATGGAACAAAATGGTTCATCGCCGTGTTTGCAAGAACGCTTTACTTGTTCCTGCTCTGAGCCAGATGAATCCAATCCTCATGTCAACATTCTGTTCTCTAAATCCATTCCAATATTATCCTTCCACATACGCCAAGTTTCGCAAGTAGCATCGTTCCTGCACCTGCAGGTTGAAAGCGTAAGATTCGTGAAAACGTGTAGAGGCACGTCTAGTGTTTGAAGTTGTATATGAAAACAGATTCTTTAGGAGACTTATTGCGGAGCGTAGAATCGTCATTTAGTTACGATTTTAATTGACATGAGTTATAGAAGGCGAGCTTTACTACAGGCTGAACAGTTTCATTTCTGAAAAACGACACCTAACTTGAAAACAGGTACAAATAGTATTTTCTTTTTCCACATGAACCCACGTTAAGAATAGGCGTTCCTGGGCAAATGTTATACAACAGCAAACGTGGTGGTTTCGAGCTCTCTCTATATTAAATAGAACTAAAATTGCAGTGGCATAAAAGAGCATGTAAATATTATACATTTCATATTTGTGCCCTAACCACACTGTGAACAGCTCAGGCTATAGAGCATTGAATGGTATGGTGCATAATGTTTTGGAGAGGTCATGGCCTACTATTAAGTAATATCAAAGCATCTGATTGGAGGGAGTGAAGAAAACTGCAGATGACTTGTCACGATAGCCTCTTACTGGGCTCAGATTCAAACTGAAATAAAAATATCTGACAAGTTAGTTACAGTAAGGAACAAGGGCAGAAGGCATTTCACTCTGACTGCACCTCATATCTTCAGAATCTAGATTATGGTCCTCAAGGATTTACATAAATGAATTGTCTGACATCTACCAAACATATGGCCATGAACATTTAATTCCATGTTATTAATGCTTAAGTTCTTATTTATTAACATATGTTATTTCTCTCATACATTTAAATCGTTTTGCATCTTTATTCCATTGCTAGGAATAACATATTTATGTGTGGATCATGGGCCTACCAGCAGCGACATTGCAAAGGAAGGTGATATTCTCAGGGAAGAAATACAATTCCTCAGAACAGACTCTCTGTGAGTATATGTGTGAAGGCAACTGGCAAATGATTTACCAAAGCTGAATGTAATCACATACTCTGTGTGTGTGTGTGTGTGCATGTGCATGTGTTTTTTTATTAATCACTCTGTTTTACACACATTCAATCATTCAATAATATTCAAAACACAACAATTTTGCAAAAACAGATGGCAATAAAATGACAGACTTGAAAGGATTCTGACGATGGTGTATACTGTACTTCTTTTGGCTTATTATTGACTTCGTGATCTTTTGTCTTTTACATACTAGATGATAGATGAAGTCCAAAATAAGCGAAAAGAAGTATGGCAATAAAATGGTATATTATCGCAGGATAATGAGTAAACAGTGTGTATTAGACCACTGAGGTTACATGCGATGTTAATGTTTTTTTTTTTTCCCCAACTTAAAAAATCTGTGAACACAAAGTTTCAAAGAGAGAAACGTTCAGAATATTATTCGTGAAATGTGAGAGTGCATCTATTCTTGTTAAAGCTTTACGAGTATATTTTATCGTTATATTAATTCATATAACCATTCTGAATTCTGAGAACTATGGTTACCTACAGGAAAACACAAAATTATATTATGTCAGTTATTTTAAACTGTGAAATGCATAGTAGTAGTGCAGTAGTAGAGCAATGGGAATAGCTGGTATGAATTTTCACTGGAAGTAATTTTTAAGTAATTCTGTCATTAGGACATAAAACAAGAAATAGCGATGAGTTACTACTGCTAGTGGTTACCATTACTGATGGTTAGACTGGTATAATTCACATTTTGAATATGTTCCTTCCGTGGGTTTGTACAAAATATTTTGTGTAATGTAACAAGATTAAACAAACAACATGAAAGTGGAAATGAAGGAAAAATATGTCACAAGGTGAGGGTTAGAAGTATGACTCAAGGGTGATGAGATTACGCAGTCTTCTCCTGTTTCCTTGCATGGAATTTGTATGCTTTAAAACTTTGCAGCAGTGTGTTCAGATGTTAATTTAAAAAATAATCCAGATTTTAAATCTGCTAAAGGTATAACACCAAAAAGTCAATACGTTTTAATTGTCACATGTCTTATCAAGAATATTCACTGCCAGTGGTAACTAATAAGGAGGGTGTTATGCTTGTACAGTACTGCATATTAATAATGAACCAGGTTTTGTGAAAGGCCAGAGAGCTGTTCCATGAACATCTGCACTTCATTTAATAGAAAAAAATAGATAATGTAACTTTAAATACTTATATTCTAGTCAGAAGTGAAACCTTTCAAGAGAAAATACAAATGCTGAAAGACTAAAGTACACTCAACATCTTAATGCAACAAGACCAAATGTTGTACCAAGACAGACAGGGAAGGTCAATGCTGAAATAAACCTTACAGAATATGGTGCAAATAAATTAAGTGTAAACTGAAACACCTTAGTTTACGTTGCGCTTCTGACAGAAATCAGCTGTTGTGTTTCATATGACAGGGAATCACTTGAACAGCTGAATATCTGTTAACTTGTTAGAGAAGAGACTGCACCTGGGTGTTGAATAATTAATTAGAGAATAAACTGGCAATTTAGGTAAGTAATCAGTCCATCGGTTACTTGATGCTGAATGATGCAGCCTCCATACACATTTCAAAAGTACACACTTACGAAGGGAGGGAACGTAAGAAAAAAAAGACATGCAGATGACCTCTAATTAACACGACTGTCATACAGTCTCTCCTGAAAATGACTCGTCAGGTCTGAGAGTTATCAGAGAATCACATACATACTTCCCTATGTGCCTCTTCTTCCAGGAAACAAATCTAATGATTTGCTAAAAGAAATTATTATAAATACATGCTGCATATTAAAGTCTACTTTCATCTCATGACTGCAGGTGGTTCTATAGTATCTACACGCGATACCAAGAACCATGAGTCTTCACCAATTGAAACTGGGAAACATGCAGCACAGCAAATCCTTGAGGTATGTAAACTATATACAACTATAGTAGTTACATGGATAACACACATACTTCTTTCAAGTTGTATTTCACAATTACTATGTTGTATTTTAGCATCCTGTTGCACTGATTCATATTCATAATGTGTATATATTAACAGTCTTCAAGTGCATACAATCCCATCTACCACTTCTACACTACATGTTTCGGTAGTATGCTGCCATCTTAGCGTCCTCCGTAGTCTAGGGGTAATGTTCCAACCTCATGACTCAAGGTACACAGGTTCAATAACCCGATGGAGATCGTGGAATTTTTAAGGGCGGAAAAATTCAGGGAACAAGTCCTCCGGGAGGGACTTTAAGCCATGTGTTCCATGTCGTAGATTTTCGGCACGTAAAAGAACCTCATGTCTCTAAGAGACTGCTGAGCTAAATTAGGCCCAACATTTCCCACCCAAAGTAGTTTCCAATGCCTCCGGTAGATGGGGAAGTATTAGGTACCACTGCCAGAGGAGGGACGACCTCTCTGACAGAAAGGGACTAAAGTATTAGATACCACTGCCAAGTAGAGGGTAGAAACCTTGCTGGCAGAAAGGGGCTAATAGTGAGCACCAGTACTGGTAGGGGATGGAGACTGTAGAAATTAAAAGGGGGACGTACAATAGATTATCAGTCATGGTGCATGGGGAAACCCACCGCCTCAGTACTGAATCACTGAATGCTGCCATCTTCAGGTGTATCGATCCATTAACTATTTCACCGCTTGCCTTTATATGTCCATTTACAAACAATACTAAATTAGTATACATCCCCACATAACAATAAAGTTCATGTATTTAAAGCTTATTATCCTATACGTCATATTTTTAAAATTCGCGTGTATTATTAATCATCCACATGGGGCTCGTTCTTCTTATATTTCTAATGTTGTGTGTACGTTGTGTCTTAAGATGGGTTCTACTCTTGTGGCTGCGTGCATTGTATCGTTGGATGTGTGTGTCATATGTCAGTCTTTAGTGCCTGAATATCAGTGAAAACAGAGGTTCTAATTTCACAGAACTATTTTCTGTACCCACCATGAACTTATTAGTGTGAGAAGTTAATCTCAAGCTAATAAAGTAACAGGTAAAGCTATCCCTGCAACAGGCCATGAAGGCCTATAGGGTTGTGAGATGTCAAGGCTCCCACATTTTCTATAGACAGTTGCCCCCCCCCCAAAAAAAAGACTCCTAGTATTCATTTCTGTCGATCCCAGGGCCACAGTGCAACTGGAAGGGTAGGTAAATAGGTAAATTGAAAAAAAAAATCCACATCATTGGGACTCAACGGTTTATAGCATAGTTCCTCAACCAACTATGCTACTGCATTCCCCATCATCAGAATGAAATTGTAATCAAGAGAGCTCAGAGAATGCCATGGTTAATTTCTGTCACTTCTGTTGGCCAATATCACTTAAACCTGATGTTCCATGTCTAATGCATCTGGTGCTGGCCATATGGGCTGAAACATATACAAAAGATGTAAAGAGAAAACACTTACCTAAAGAGAGAAGTTTGGAAGGAAATTCAAGAAAGATTCTAGGAAGTGGAGACAAATGTAACACCCCAAGTTGTTCAGCAAGCAACAGAGTACTGGGACAGTAAGAGGACAAAAAGCATGGAGATGATGAATCCAGAAGCGTTATGAAAAATATTGCACAAATTCATGATGTTTACTCTGCCACAGAATTCCTCTAAGATTTCATTTTTCCATTCATGTTCTTTGGTGAGTTACTGCATATACTGGGATAATGTTTCTGTCTGAATATTACAGCCTTGTACCATGCCAGGTGAGTGCTGGGCATTTGATGGTTCAGGTGCTGTTGTGATTCAATTGATTGGTAAGGTGAACGTTAAAGCAGTCTCTGTCGAGCATACTTCACATTCCCAGTTGCTCCCAGGATTAATAAAGAACGCACCAAAGGATTTCTCTGTATGGGTAAGTGTCTTTATATGGTTTTTCTAGTTATACAGGATTAGCCTACAAGAAATAGACACTTTCAAAGTTTTGCAGAAAGAAGAGTTTTAATAGCATGGCCAAGATACTTACATGGTTTGAAAAAGTGTTCCCTGAAGTTTACATGGGTAAGTTACAAATGTTCTATACTGACCCTTTTGTAACACGACAAATATCAATGTGACAGTCTAGTTCTTCACAAATGCTTCTCAGCATGCCCACGTCAACAGTCGCAGCAGCTACTGTGATGCGTTAAGATCATCCACACTTGTAGGGAGGGGAGGAACATAAACTCTGTCCTTTATTTAGCCCCATAAGAAGTAGTCACAGGGTGTTAAATCCGGACTTCTTGGTTCTGGGCGGTTGGACGTCCAATCCAACGCCAGGGCAATTTTTCATCCTGGTAATTTCAACTTCAAGGTGCCAGTGTGGCGGAGTGCCATCTTGGACAAATATAAAATTGTCATTGACCAGCCACTCATGTAGCGTGTCTAGGTAGGTTATTCCAAGCACTGTTTTTTCCTGGAAAAAGAATGGTCCACACACCTTTTTACGGGATAAAGCACAAATCGTTCGCTTTAGGAGAATCCCTCACATGCTCTACTACAGCTCTCGGGTTTTCAGTTCCCCATATATGAATGTTGTTTTTTTTTCACCCTACCACAAACGTGGAACATTAATTCGTCATGGAAAACTAGCTAGTTAAAGAAATCATTACTTCCTTCATTCCATTAGTGCATGTCCATACTGAATGAATGACGGAGGATTTTGTTGTTTTCAGTGAGGTTATGCAATAATTGCAACCAGTAAGGGAACATTCGTAAACGTTTACGCAGGATATTCCACACAGTCTTTTGTGGAACTTGAAGTTGTACACTTGCACGTGTTGTCGACTTTTTTGGGCTGCGCGTGTAAATTTCATGAACATGAGTCACTGTTTCCTCCGATACAGGTGGTCTCCCAGGACTTTTCCCCTTGCACAGGCAACCAGTTTCATTAAATTTCTTGCTCCAATCGTAGATTGTCTGTCTTGTGGGTGGTTGCTTACCATACCGTGTTCTAAAACGATGTGGCACGACAGTAACAGGATTTGTTTCTCCAAGTTCAATCCCCCAATAAGTCTTCTACACTTTGTTGGCGGCCACACTGCTCGACATACGTTAAGGGTGCACCACGTGATTCTGACGTCGCGAAGACAATCGAAAAACGGAGGTCGTAATTTTAATTCATAAAGCATTTAAGCTGTCTATTTCTTTTAGGCTAACCATGTATATAAGGCCTTTTCCATACAAATGTTGGGCAAAACTAAAGCCTCTTTATACAGAATTAATGTGAGAATCCTCCGGTTGTGCAGCTGCTCAGGAATTTCCTAACATTGTATTGAAACAGAGGTTCATTACCATGTTCTCAAGAGCCCTCCAGTGGTCCCAATCCTGAGACAGATCAATCCTGTCCATGCCACCCCATCCTATCTAAGATCTAATATATCCCCCAGCTACATCTATATTTTCCTAGTTATGTCTTTCCCTTTGGCTTTCCTACCAAAACCCTACAGGCATTTCTTCTCGCCCACATCAGATCCTCTTCATAAGAATTTGTTGATTTTTTTGTTTATTACTATATTATATTCAATAATAATGACTGAACTAATAAACATAATTTATCCACAGAGATTAGATAGCCTTAATGACGAAGGACAATATCTTGGGAGTTTCTCCTACGATATCGATAGCAGCCCTCTGCAGCACTTTACAATTCCAGTAACACACTGAACAATACAGTAAACTGAATTAATAAGACATTTTTATGTAAGTGATGACATTTTCTGTTTATAATCTGTACCATTTCTTTTCATATCAGGAACCAGCAACAATTCCGTTTCGCTTCATTGAGCTCAAGATTCACAACAATCATGGTAAAGCAAATTATACCTGCCTTTATCGCTTCAGAGTACATGGAACTCTGGATCCTGTTGAGCAAGCATAAACACTGTCCAACTGACGGGGAACAATGCTGCCTTATCCACAGAAGCTAAATGTCTATAGTAATGACGAGGAATATGTATTCCAGGAGTGAAAAATGTGATGTCTGTAGTGCAACAGAATTTTTGGGACACTGAAATCCCCACATAATATAATTATTACAAGGCAGCTGAAAACTGGAATAGTGCAGCCAGAGGAGACGACCGTTGATAGGTAATGGCCGATATGCACAATTCTGTGGCAGTGAATACATGATGCTACCAGAGAAATGGTGGAAATGGCATTTCCTACTTGGTGTGACCTGAGGCTGCATACCTAGACCACCCAGCCAGTTGCTTCAACCTAAACATATTCAATAACAATTCTAATAATATATATTTACAGATCTCTTACTGTGAATCTACTGAATCTAACACACAGTGTTACATTAACACTATATGTTGGATTCAGTATAGTTTCTAGGCCTTTTAAAAAAACGTATGGCTTAACTAGTAGTGTGTACCAGTGTTTAAACAGAGGCCTTGCAATGAGCTCATCACTCACCAAAGGAGTCCTACCTTCTGCAAAAAATGATTACATAACTGAATGTAATAACTGTATGTGGGAGGATAATATTGGAATGGATTTTGAGAACAGAATGTTGACATGAGGATTGGATTCATCTGGCTCAGAGCAGGAACAAGGAAAGCGCTCTTGCAAACATGGCGATGAACCATTTTGTTCCATACATGGGACTGGAAAGATATCCTAACCAGCTGAGTGACTATAAATTTTGTTCCAAAGTGACAGTACTCTTCAGACGTTCCTTAGTCACCCTGTCTTTCTACGCCATAACCTACCCGGCTAAGATAATATCAAGTTCAAAATTTTCCCCTCACATCCGAAAAATCGGAGTCTCAATAATTCTGTCACTATTGAATATCCAAGCACAAAATAACAAAACCATTTTTTAAAATCTGAACGATGCAGTATCTGTCAGATGTGAATTTACGAACGCCACAAATGAATTTCATTAAAATATAATGGCGATTTTGTAACGGCGTTAATTAATAACATGTTGCTACTGTACTTGGAAATTATGGTTGAAATACTTACCAACGATCAGCACTGTAATCTGACTGAGGATGAAACCAAGAATGCAAATATTTCCTCTTCTTCGGTTATACGCCATAATAAAAATGTATGAAGAGACAATAACTTGTTGAACTGTTCTATAGAAACTATTACAGTTGCACAGTATACACGGACGAACTTGAATTGAAGAATGGTAGTGAACTCCTTGAACACTGAACATGAATTGTAGAAATTCCACTCATTGTATCTTCTTATGTAACCAAGAGTCGGAAATATAGAAAACATGTCACTGTCCATATTGTTGTATGCTTTGCCTAACAACCGCTGTTTACACGCTTTGCCTAGCACCCACTGTTTACTCGCTATGCCTAGCAACAGCTGTTTACTCGCTGTTGCTAAGCAATGATAATTGCGTTGTCATATTTGCTGTTTATGCGCTTTGCCAGCACCCGCTGTTTACTCGCTTTGCCTAGCAACAGCTGTTTACTCGCCATTGCTAAGCAATGATAATTGCGTTGTCATATTTGCTTGAATGTAAGTAGTTCCCCGCGGAGATTGTTGCTCAGCTGTTGAAGTGAGCAGGAAAATGTATGTGACGTCCGGAGCGTGTATTTCGTGCTACAGACGGTGGTGGTACAGCATGCGGAGCCGCGGTTGGGGTTGTGTCGGCTGCGGGTTTGAAGGTCTTGGTTGTCTTGGTGGTGGTCCCGCGGCCAGTTTCGTTTAGCATGTAGGCAGGTTTGACCCTATCGGTTGACATGGTGACGAGCCTGCCGCGCACGAGGATTTGCATTGTCTTCTCCTTCGTGACAGGACCAATGATACTTGCTTGTCTCTGGCTGTCTGCGGTTGCCTTTGTATATGTGAGTGCCCGCTTCTCTGTGTGCATTTTTCTGCTCACCTCTGGGCATGTTTGCATGCTCTCCGACCCATCTGGGCACGTGAACGATGGATTGTGTGAAACTATCATTTTAGGATGAATTACATGAGAAATGAAAATACAAACACAATCAAAAGATAAACTCCGTGTCCTGTAGTCGGCAAGCGAACTATACCAACCAAGCGACTGTCACTTGTCAGTGCCAACTGTAGCGGATATAGGGTGTCGCATGGTCAGTGACAAATTCATATTCCTCCAAAACGCCATTTGACTCTCAGTGGACTACATGGCATTATATCTCAGAAGACAGTACTCTTCATAACCACCTTTGTCAGAAACTCAGATGCTACATTTAAACATCCTGCTCATAGGGGCCACAGGGCAACTCTAGAAGGGCTGTATATGCATATATATTATAATATATATGCATATATGATAATTATCATCATACATGTTTCGTGTCTATAGGTTGACGCTGATCATTCTGAGCCCTTATTTATTTGGATGATTATAGACGACCATGAAATTTATTTCTAATTAATTCTCGGTAATTTAAATTTCAAAAGTCTTATGTTTCGGTATTACTGGAAATGTATCGTGATCTATAATATCATATTTCATCGTCTGGGACGTGGAATACGGTGTTTATGTTGAAAATTTCTAGATTCTGGTAGAAACAAGAAGTCCGGAGTTATAACATTTACGATCAGTCATAAATTTAGCTCGGGTACAGGGAACCGGACGCGCCTAAAAAGGACAGGTCAGAGCTTGTTACAATTGCCTGTGAATGAGGGCCAGTATGATTGGGTTGCCTCGTTCAAGCTTCCCACGGAAGATGGGATGAAATGTATATGAAAACACCATCTTTCGAATTCCC